GTCGCTAAGGGGCAGGTCGCGGGTCGCCGGGCCTTAGGGGGCCGTGAAAAACGAGGCGCCCTAGGGCGCAGGTAGGTAGGTAGGTAGTGGTGGGCCCTAAAAAAATGGTCCTAGGAAGGACCTGCTCTATACCATGTTGAAATGAACGAACAGGAATGATTGAACTAACAGTGAAAACAGTACAAATACCTAACCCTAGAATTGTGTACCCCCTATAGGCTAACCCACTGTAGCCTAAACAAGCACAACAACATACGTGATGTTTGACAGTCCTGTCAGTAGCGGGCTGGTTTGGGCGAGTAGTATCGCGTGGATCTGGGCAGTGGGGCGGGTCAGTGCGTCGGCGATGTTCGAGGCTCCTTTTTTATAGGTGAGTGTGTAATGGATATTTTGACTCGAGGAAATTGAGCCACTGAATCTGTCGTGGGTTGAGATGGGCTGTGCGCGGAGGTACTGTAATGATCGTTGGTCTGTCCGTACTATCACGTCTGCGCCGGTCAAGTAGCAGCGCCACACTTTGAATGCATGCACGATCGTGAGCATTTCGCGGTTGTGTATCGGGTAATTTTGCTCGGGCGGATGCAGTTTTTCGTGACTCGTATGCGATGGGCTGTAGGCCGTTGCCGAAGTCCTGTAGCAGTACGGCTCCAACGGCGATGTCGCTGGCGTCTGTAACAACCTCGAAGAGGCGGTGTGGGTCGGCGATGCGCAGGACGGGCGGTGAACAGAGAACGTTTTTCAGGGCAGAGAAGGCAACATGCTCTTTCTCCCCCCACGTAAAAACGACCCCCTTTCGTAGTAAATCCATCAGCGAGGTGGTCAATTGTGCCATGTCGGGGACAAACCGACGAACATAATTAACGAACCCTAAAAACTTTGCAGCTCTGTGATGTTCGTCGGGGGACACCACGCTTTTATCGTATCCAGCTTCTTTGGGTCGATTTCAACTCCAGCCTCTGAAATAACGTGCCCGAAAAAACTCGCACTTAGAGCTCTTGGTGAGTAACCGATGTTCCTCTATAACTTTAAATACTGCTTCGAGATCCGCTTAGTGCTGCTGCTTGTCGCGACTGTAGACGAGGATGACGTCGAGATAAACTATCACGCATTTATCTAAGAGTGGCCTAAACACCTCGTTCATGGTCTGAAATGTTGCAGGCGCATTGGTCAGCCCGAAAGGCATCACCGTGTACTCAAACGACCTGTACCTAGTCCTAAATGCTATCTTGGCGCAGTCCGATGGTTCGACCCGAATCTGATGGTAGCCCCCCCGTAAGTCGATTTTCGAAAACACCCGTGTTGTTCGCAGTTGGTCGATCAGTTCGTCGGCGCGGGGAATGGGGTACCGCGACTTGACTGTTACCTTCTTGAGCGCTCGATAATCGATGCACATGCGAAACCCTCCGTCTTTTTTCGGTGTGAACAGTATTGGTCGAATAAACGGCTTCTCTAACAAATAATCTAGCTGCTTCCTTAGTTCGTCAAGCTCGGGCTGTGTCAGTCTGAACTGGCGCTCTACAGTTGGCTGTGCCCCCGGTTCTAACTCGATCCTATGATCATGCGCCCGCTGAGGTGGCAGCCCTTCCGGTAAGTCGTCTGGAAAAATCCACGGGTACCGTTTCAATAGTTCTTGTAGTTTGGGCGGTACTGCTGCCAACAGTTTCTAAAAATCGCTCGGCTGCTCCGCTTCTCCTACTAATGCTATATCTACTGCGTACACGTCAGCTCCAGCGGCGACAACCCGTTTCATCGTGATGGCGTTGACGTGGACCGTTGAAGACTCGGGCGACTGCCAGCGAGGTAGCTCGACCCAGTTACCACTACTTCGCACGGTGCAGCTAATCACGTCCCAGTAAAATATCGTGCCCATCCAGTGTCGTTGCGAGCATTTCCTGTGTAAACCCGAAAGTTCCCCCGCAGCGGACTTTGATTCGCTCTACCTTTTCCCGTATGGCCAGTGGCGTGCCGTCGACTAAGCGTGCGTCTATCTCCAGTAAGCAACGGCTAAGTGTCAGCTGTAGTTTTCGTGCGGTTGTGGTATTAACTAAACTCTGGCTTGCTCCTCCGTCGATAAAAATCTTCACTGCTGCTCCCTGTATTTTCCCGTGGATCAGTACAGGGCAATCCGTCGCTGTACCCTCCTTATTCATCCGAGCCCGATCGATGGTGTGAATCGGTACTGTGACTCGGTGAGGGTCGGCGCGGTTGGGCGAGCAGGCAGTCTTGTCAGTAGTTGGCCCAACTTCTACTGACTGCTGGTGCTTCCCTGCCTATGAGACTCCCCCCCCTGCTCTGCTCCGCGGCGCCTTAGCTCCTCTGGGCATTCGCTCTTGCGATGGCCCGGCCTGTTGCAAGCAAAGCAGCGCCCCTTAAACGGTGCGGCATGTGCATTCGTTGTAACAGCGTTTACAGTGGCATGCTCGATCGGTCCCCGAGGACGATGTCCGTAGTAGGACCCCGGTCTCGGTCGGCGTAGGATGTCGATTTTCTCGGCGAGCGCGAGAATCTCGTTGAAGTTTGAGAGTCCGCGCAGCATGATTTTGTGCGAGATATCTGACTTTAGCCCTCCGACGTAACGGTTCACCCGCTCCGCTTCGTGCATGTAGCCGACCTGATCGCAAAGTGCGAGAAAACTGCTCGTGTAATCTTGAACCGACCCGAGCTACCGCCAAGTGCGCAATCTCTGACGTGCCGAAATAGAAGCCGCGATCGGCTCGAAGCGCGCCCGAAGCCCTGCGCACCACGCATCCCACGTGCTGTATTGGGCGGTCTCGTAGAATGAACTCCAGGTGACAGCTGGACCCGTGGGCCCTTCCTCTTGCGACGGTGGCTCGTAGGCGCGTGGCGACGTCACGATGACTCGCCACCAGCACTAGCTGTTGCCGTCGTCCCTGCGTGTAAGGCGGGCTTGGGAGCTGCAACACCCATCAGCCAACAACAAGTCAGGCAACTGTGCACGACATGTCGCTGTGCACGGCACTCTGCAAGCACTTCGGCAGCGCCCTATGGTGGCTACCTTATGTACCTCAATAAGACAGGGTTAGCTGGCTGTTGGAATCAAGTACAATGTATGCTCTTTGTACCGGTATGCCATATCTCAGTATTGAACCATGCTCCTACACATAGAGTTGAAGAAATGTTCGTGTATGCAGCTGTGTAAGATATATCCCCTACCCAACATTCACAACATAGCCAACCCCTAGCTTAGGGTCCAACAGAGCACGGTAATAGCATAGAGGCGTGTCATACATGGTGAGTAGACAGCACCATGAATCACTGTTCAAGCGGCAAAGTAGCACTTCAAATCGGTGACGCACACTTGCCAGCACAACATCGTAGTCAGCCGGGACAAATGAACTGAAGGTTCACCAAGCATTACACCCCCGACGCGGAACAACTTGTAGTTGTCTACAAACGTAGAGCCATTACACCTAGATATTGTGAGATGCTGGCTCTTCGCGCACCGCTGCCATTGATTTCTCCGCCTCCCTAAGAATCGTATTCCACAATCCATTATCATCCCCCAGATACTTATAGAAAGTGCCTTTTCCAGGACATGGTATGCCAAAATTGCGGCTAAACTCCCACATCTGTTGGTACCCCATTCCGGCCAGCACAAATGATCCTACGAATTTGGAATGGAGTATAGGCACACGTGCCCCGACACCGGCTCTTCTTTTCTCGACGGTTCGATTGGTGCATGACCAAAATTCCACATCGTGGGAGCACGCATCACATCTCCAAAACATGCCCACATATGCCCATGAGAATTTCCAAGACCTCAAAGACATGGCTCCGCCGCATGTTTGTTGATGCGAGCATACCAGGGAACATCCCTTGAAGAATCCAACAAGTGTACGCGGTTCGACGAGACATACCCGTTGTTCAGAAATCTCGTTGACATTTGGTGCGGTGGGCCAGCGCCTGGGGACTGATGCACGCGCGATTGAGCGCGGTTGCCTGCGATGCGGCGGGGGGTGGTGCACATATCATCATATCATGTGATGGGATGATTTGCACAGAATGTGTCATGTGTTGACCACATATTCAAACAAGGTAGATGCTTACAGATCCACTGGCGTGCCATCTGTCACCGTCGGTGCCGGCGATGGTAGAGGTACGTTGTCAGGGTTGGAGTTTATGCACTCCTGATCACCAGCTCGACCTTCAGCGCTATCGTGCATCATTGCCATAGGTGGATCCGTCCCAATTTCCACCACATCATTGTCCCCTGACTCAACGCCAGCCCTCACCCCGAGACCATCTGCAGTACAGCGGGAGCAATGGGACAAGGTACAATTTATGGAGTGGAAATGGCAGGACAGAGAGTGTACGGTGCATCAACATCCTTCTATTGGTCAGTCTTTCAAATGCATGCAGCTTATTACCTCCCTGGCGCTGTACAGAAAAAGCCTTGCCACGCCTGGCTCCTCCCCAAGACAGGCCCTCCACAGGCCTAGGTCTCCCGCGATGATCTAGCCGCATAATCGGAAATGAAAACTTGACGCCGGGCAGCACAACGTTCGGTCGTCCCAGCAGATCAGCAACCTTCTCGTAGCCTCCCTGAACGCGCCCGTTGAAAATACGACCGTACTCCTGACGGTGCATCTCGACCATGGCGCCCGTTTCCGAGCGCTCTGACTCGGGATCTGGGTGGAATTGGGTTCACAAATGAGTGAGCACACACTACTCATATTCACCAGAAGGAGCTCCCCAATCTAATATGTCGTGTCCCAACCCCATTGTACAACGTACCGGCGGCTATGCCTGCTGTGATGAGTCGTAGCGTCGCATCGGGTGCTGCCTCTGCCAAGAAATGAATAACGTCGTCGGGTGTCGCCATAGTCTCGCCAGCGAACAATGCGGACAATCCCACACGTAGCACGCACAGCAGAGGCCTCATATGCCTCGATATGTTCACGGTGCCCCTCGTGGCATCCTTGCATGCTTGTGTTGCTGGATGTACACCTGGTCTACGCACATTGGCCATACGGGGGAAACTACACCACCAAGCGGGGAAGCAGGGAAGGGGGTGGGGGGTAGCAGGGGACGGGACAGCGGGAAGCAGGGGACGGGACAGGGGGAAGCATGGAAGGGGAGGGGGGGAAGCAGGGAAGGGAATGGGGGGAAGCAGGTAAGGGGAAGGGGGGAAGCACGGAAGGGGATGGGGAAAAGCAGGGAAGGGGACAAGGGGCAGCAGGGAAGGGGATGGGGCGAAGCAGGGAATGGTTTGGCTCTAAGCACGGAAGGGGACCGCACAAAGCCGGGAAGGGTGGGGGGAAAAGCACGGGAGGGGCGGGGGGTAAGCAGGGAATGGAATGGGGGGAAGCAGGTAAGGGGAAGGGGGGAAGCACGGAAGGGGATGGGGAAAAGCAGGGAAGGGGACAAGGGGCAGCAGGGAAGGGGATGGGGGGAAGCAGGGAATGGTTTGGCTCTAAGCAGGGAAGGGGACCGCACAAAGCCGGGAAGGGTGGGGGGAAAAGCACGGGAGGGACGGGGGGTAAGCAAGGAATGGAATGGGGGGAAGCAGGTAAGGGGAAGGGGGGAAGCACGGAAGGGGATGGGGAAAAGCAGGGAAGGGGACAAGGGGAAGCAGGGAAGGGGATGGGGCGAAGCAGGGAATGGTTTGGCTCTAAGCAGGGAAGGGGACCCCACAAAGCCGGGAAGGGTGGGGGGAAAAGCACGGGAGGGACGGGGGGTAAGCAGGGAATGGATTGGGGGGGAAGCAGGTAAGGGGAAGGGGGGAAGCACGGAAGGGGATGGGGAAAAGCAGGGAAGGGGACATGGGGAAGCAGGGAAGGGGACATGGGGAAGCAGGGAAGGGGACATGGGGAAGCAGGGAAGGGGACATGGGGAAGCAGGGAAGGGGACATGGGGAAGCAGGGAAGGGGACATGGGGAAGCAGGGAAGGGTGGGGGGAAAAGCAGGGGTGGGGAGGGGGGTAAGCAGGGAATGGAATGGGGGGAAGGCGGTAAGGGGAAGGGAGGAAGCACGGAAGGGGAGGGGCGGCAGCAGGGAAGGGCACATGGGGAAGCATGGAAGGGCACATGGGGAAGCATGGAAGGGCACATGGGGAAGCATGGAAGGGCACATGGGGAAGCATGGTAGGGCACATGGGGAAGCATGGAAGGGCACATGGGGAAGCATGGTAGGGCACATGGGGAAGCATGGAAGGGCACATGGGGAAGCAGGGAAGGGCACATGGGGAAGCATGGAAGGGCACATGGGTAATCATGGAAGGGCACATGGGGAAGCATGGAAGGGCACATGGGGAAGCATGTGCTGCGGATATCTCTGCGCAAACTGACCTGCACGGAGGCAAAGGTGTGATGAGCTGTTCTTCCGGTGACAGCCTTATCGATCCTTGGTGTACTTGTTTTGTGCGGCGACTGTAGCATCAAGTCCGAACAGGCATGCAAACTTGATCCGCATCTGCACAAAGGCAACCAGAGCCAATTACCGCAAAGCATGAGGCACGAGACATTGATGGACGAGAACGAGCTCATCTGCAAATGCAGCAGCACAATGCTAGCAATCAACAAAGGCAGCAGCACCTCGTGCGGGCATGCGAACCCGAACAGCAGCAGCGCAATGGCAGCAGAGCCTATTACCGCAATGCGTGAGACGTGACAAGAAAGCGAGATGGACACAGCTTAGGCGACCAACGAAGTTCTCAGGCTGTGGTAACTAGTCCTGCAGGTAGCCCGAAAAGCAGACAGGGATGGCAGATATGTGAGTTGCAAGGCATGTGCGTCACCAGCAAGGCATGCAACCCGCCCCATCAGCAGCTATTTCATTTGTGCTTGAGGCACCAGAGAGAGATGATGGGTCGACTCTCGGCTTCTCTGCAAAAGCACAGGAGCCAAGTTCTGCAATGCCTGCCTCACGTGGAACGTGGCTGTTCACATGCCTGAGAGTGATGTCATTGATGTGGAAGAAGTGACAGTTGGCGAATTGACTTCACGTGACTGTGCCCGCAGGCATACATCACATGCGGTGTGGGCGGCGGTTGCTGCTGCCGATGCACACACTCACCCTGTACTCGCTGCGTCAACTTCCGTACCACTCGTTCGCAGCATTAACTGTTTCGGCCGTATGCGCATGTTGTTGTATATACGCCAGTAGCACGCTGTTTTTGCACTTGTGTCACCCCGCTAGTACATGCGGGGTTGTGATTTGGCGGCTGTCGTTCCACGAGGGCTCCTCCAGCAATCTTACTTATTGTCGGCGCGCTCAATTCACGCATTCTTGTCCCCACCTTACCGAGTATTAGCGTGGCTCCCTAATGTAGCCCGTGCCCCTAGTCGTCAACCGTGCGTTTTATCACTTTTCTCCCTCCCTTGCGCCGTCCTTAGTCTCCTTCCACGCCTGTCCCTCACGATCTATTGAAGGTGTCCTCCGTGCCTGTCTGCTGAACGCGTCACTCCGCCCTTCTATGTGCTCCCGATGTTTCCTTCCTTCTCTCTGTCCATATGCTTTCCCTACTTTGCTTGCCTACTCGTAGCATCCGTCGCTTCTCATCTCGGGTGTCCGTGTTGTCGTTATCGACAGCTGGATGTTGTAATCTCCTGCGATGCATCATAATCGGCAAGCGCGACGCGCTTTTCTGCCGTAGACGCCTGGCTGCTACCATGCACGGTAGGTAGTCGTGCGCTGCGTGAGAATTGTCGAGCTGACATTCTTGTGGTATGCAATTCATGATTGGTGGTCCAATTTTCTCCTACCTACCTTTCGATTGCCTCCTTCGACACCAACACCGAGTTGTATCTCCCTGTTTTCATGTTTTCCCCACCCTGATTGGTTGTGCAGCTATGTTCGTTTGCACGTTCACCATCCATGCACCCTGATTGGTTGCACTCTTTGGCACCTGACGGGTCGCCCTGGTTGTAGGCTGTATGATCAGCCTGGTAGCCCACTCTTTGTGTGGCGAACATGCGTGATGCTTCGCCAGGGTAGTCATCACGATTTATATTTTCGCTACACAGCCAAGTAGTGTTTAAAGCCTCAAATACGAAAACCTCTTTGTCATGCTGACCCCGGGCTTTAACTGATAACAAAAATGTGATTGCAAAGTTGACGATACATGAAAGTAGCAAGACCAAATAGGGGGTTTCCTAGCTAGGCGGGGATGGCTCGGTGAAGTTGCGATTGGTGCAGAGGCGACTCGGGGGTGGTTTGGCCGACGAAATAGGCCGAACTGGGTTGTCGCATAACCCTCGGGGTTGTACTCGCTAACGAGTGTTACAGTAAGGATTTGTACATCCTTACACTCTCCCACCTCCTACATAAAGAAGCCCTGTACGTAGAAGAGACTCGCTCATGCGAGAATGCCATTGATCTTCAATAAATTTGAATGAAAAAAGTTGGAACGTTGACTGTAGATGTGAATTGATGTTGATCTGACGGCTGCGGAGGGTCTTGACCAAAATAAAAGTGAAGGTTGGAATGTGGAGCGTTTATCAAATTCGATGTTGATTTGACGTTGAGCAGCTAGAAATATGGTATTCACAAACCAACAGCCCAAAGGCGTACGTAGAAAACACGTTATTTCTTTATCCATGGATAGCCACTAGCATGGATTAGGAGCTCTCTATGCTAAAAAAGGGGAGAACTAGGGGGGGCGAAAGGGGTCCCCAAGCAGCCAGGATGCGCGGAGGTATGGGTGAATAGATGGGGCCATCGTGGTCGAAAACGAGGAAGCAAAGTTGAGTGGCCAGCTTGATATGAGTGGCTGAGCGTCGTTGTTTTTTCGCTGGTTGTTTCTTCATTTGCCAGAGGAAGATTTTGAACGCGATAAGGAACTGTGCAAGGACGAGCTGGAGAATCTCAAACCGAGAGGAGGGCGTGAGAAAACTAGAACGAGAATGAATGAACTATGAATGAAGTGAGTACAAATAGGAAACCCTAATTGGGTTGTACCCCCTATGGGATACCCCACTATAGCCTACACAACAGCATAAGCTATAATGTTCTGACACACCCCCATAGGCAAAGTGGGGGAAAACAAGGGGTCACAAGACCAGTCAAGCAAAGCAAAGCAAAGCTCAGGGTGGATCACAAAGTCACCACACATTCTGAGCACAAGTTCAAGGCCACAAGGCCAGTTCACATGCAGGAGTACATATATATATATATTTATTTATATATAAAGCTAGACAAGCAAGAGCAGGTATATATATATATAACAGTACAAGCAAGGTCAAGAGGTGAGCAAGTGAGGCAAGACAGAGACCAGGCCCAGCTGGGTGCAGAAGCGCTGATGATTACAAGGCGCAAGTGCCTTGGTGAAAACATCAGCAGTGTTGGCCTCAGAGGCCACATACACAAGCCGCAACTGACCACGCTGCTGTAACCCACGAGCAAGGAAGTAGCGGAGAGCAATGTGCTTCGTTCTGTGCTCCAGTCGCTGCTCTCGACACAAGGCCAGCATGGCCTTGTTGTCTACGTACAGAACTGGAGGAGAACGAGGCGGCTCTCCAAGGTCGGTCAGCAGGTAGGTGAGCCAGCGAAGCTCCTGTGCAGCCATGGCCCCAGCGTAGATCTCAGCCTCACAACTGGAGCCGAGAACAGAAGACGAGCGAGTAGCCCGCCACGAGACAGAGCCAGAACCAAGGTTGAAGGTGTAACCCTGTGACAACCGCTGTGTAGCCTGGTCTGTCAGAACTTATAGCTTACTTGTTTCTGTAGGCTATAGTGGGGTATCCCATAAGGGGTACAACCCAATTAGGGTTTCCTATTTGTACTCACTTCGTTCATAGTCATTTCATTCTCGTTCTTTGTTTCCACATGGAATCAGAGCAGGTTCCCTCCTAGGGACTGCTTCTAGGGCCCACCGAACCGCGCCCCGAGGCGCGTTTTTTTTTAGCGACCCGTCGTGTCGCCCCTAGCGGACCGTTGCGCCGCCCTTCCCCTCGCGGCTCCGCCGCCCTTCCCTAGCGGCCCCGCCGCCCTTCGATCGCGGCCCCGCCGCCCTCTGCTACGCGGCCCCGCCGCCGCCCTTCGATCGCGGCCCCGCAGCCCTCGGCTACGCGGCCCCGCCGCCCTCTGCCTCGCGGCCCCGCCGCCCTCTGCTACGCGGCCCCGCCGCCCTCTGCTACGCGGCCCCGCCGCCCTCTGCTACGCGGCCCCGCCGCCCTTCGATCGCGGCCCCGCCGCCCTTTGCCACGCGGCCCCGCCGCCCTCTACTACGCGGCCCCGCCGCCCTCTGCTACGCGGCCCCGCCGCCCTTCGATCGCGGCCCCGCCGCCCTCTGCTACGCGGCCTCGCCGCCCTCTGCTACGCGGCCCCGCCGCCCCCTGCTACGCGGCCCCGCCGCTCTCTTCGGTCGCGGCCCCGCCGCCCTCTGCTACGCGGCCCCGCCGCCCTCTGCTACGCGGCCCCGCCGCCCTCTGCTACGCGGCCCCGCCGCCCTCTGCTACGCGGCCCCGCCGCTCTCTTCGGTCGCGGCCCCGCCGCCACTCTGCTACGCGGCCCCGCCGATCCGCCCAGCAGCAACCGCCGCCGCCTGAGCCGCCGCCGAGCCGTCGCCGAGCCGCCGCCGAGCCGCCGCCCGAGCCGCCGCCGAGCCGCCAGAGCCGCCGCCGAGCCACCCGTGACGCCCGAGCCGCCCGCGCCGCCCAGCAGCAGCCGAGCCGCCGCCGAGCCGCCGCCGCCTGAGCCGCCGCCGAGCCGCCGCCGAGCCGCCGCCGAACCGCCACCGAGCCGCCGCCCGAGCCGCCGCCGAGCCGCCCGCGCCGCCCGAGCCGCCTGCGGAGCCGTGCTGCTGTTCCTCTGCTGCTGACCTACCCGCCTCTCCCAGCCCGGTGAGATTTTCAGCTGCTGTCATGGCCACCCCCAATGTTCTTACCTTTGACGCTGAGGGGAGGGCCATTGACTTTGCCGACTGGATTGAAGACCTGCAGCTGTACTTAATGTGTGATGCGATAGATGAGGTCTCTCTCTTTGACTTTGTCTCTGGCGCTGTCCCTGCCCCACCTGCTGATGCTGACTCTGCCGTTCGCTCCAAGTGGGCGACCCGCGATGCTGCTGCACGTCTTGCTGTGCGTCGCCACCTCCCTTCCTCTGAGCGTGCCCACTTTAGTCAGTGCAAGTCCGCTCAGGCCTTGTACGACGCTGTAGTTGCACGCTACTCCTCCCCTTCCTCCGCTACCCTTAGCCGCCTCATGCTACCGTTTCTCTTCCCTGACCTCGCTTCCTTTCCCACTGTCGCTGACCTCGTTACCCACCTCCGTGCTAGTGACACCCGCTACCGCGCTGCCCTTCCTGCTGAGTTCCGCGCTGCGAACCCTCCTCCCATGTACATCACTCTCTACTTTCTCGTCACCCGTCTCCCTGAGTCCCTTCGTGTCGTTAGGGACCAGTTTCTCTCTGTCTGTCCCACCACTCTCACTGTCGACCTCCTTGAGGAGTCCCTGCTAGCGGCTGAGAAGAGT